GCGGGAGCGCCGGTCTTGAGTAAAAGCCGAAATGGCCGAGCGGGAGCGCCAGTCCTGTGGGAAAGCAGGCGTTCGGCGGCGAGCCAAAGCACTGGTCCCGAGTAGAGAAAGAGGAAGTATCGAGTGAGAGGGTTGTTGAACTCCCATTTTTGAAGAATAGTTATTGTTGATCCCCCCCGTCCGGTGCACATTGTGTTTTTCGATTGAAGTACCCTTCCCGGTGCTCGAACCCTGTTTTTTTATCAGGGAAAGTCTTGAGGGTCAAACCGTGTCGTTGGCCCCCGGTTTGCAGCAACAACAACAACAACGGCTCCCGCATGAGACTTCCTCACAATTTAGCCAGGACCCCCGCTCCCGCCCGAGAACCCCTCGCGTTTTATTCAGGAATCGCGCTCTCGCTTGGGACTTCCTCAGAATTTATTATCCCGGCGCTCTGGAGTCGCGCTCTCGCTGGAGACTTGCTTGCAATTTACTGAAGAATAGCGCCCTTGCGTTGGAATTTCTTGCAATTTTCTCAAGCGCCGCGCTCCCGACACCCAGGCACCCAGGAGTCGCGCTCACGCTTAGGACTCCCTCACAGATTGCATAGGAATCGCAATCTCGCTGCCCTTTGTGGCCCCGTTGCAGCCCTTCGTGGCCCCCTCGTTTTGTTTCGTGGCCCCGTTGCAGCCTTTCGTGGCCCCCTCGCTGCCCTTCGTGGCCCCGTTGCAGCCCCTCGTGGCCTCCTCGCTGCCCTTCGTGGCCCCGTTGCAGTCCTTCGTGGCCCCCTCGCTTTGTTTCGTGGCCCCCTCGCTGCCCTTCGTGGCCCCCTCGCTGCCCTCCGTGGCCCCGTCGCAGCCCGTCGTGGCCCCGTTGCAGCCCTTCGTGCCCCCCTCGCTGCCCTTCGTGGCCCCGTTGCATCCCTTCGTGCCCCCCTCGCTGCCCTTCGTGGCCCCATATACGTATGCCCTTCGTGGCCCCCGCTCGTTCGCGCCCGTGGTGGCCACATATGCATATGTCCTTCGTGGCCCAGTTGCCACCCTCAGTGGCCCCATCGTTGCCTTCTGTGGCCCCGCATTATCTGCCCTTCGTGGCCCCCGCTCGTTCGCGCTCTTCGTGGCCCCATACGCATTCCCTACGTGTCCCCGCTGTTGCCCTTCGTGGCCTACTTCGTGTCCTTGTGGCCCTGCTGTCGTTCTCTTTCGCCCTCGCTTTCACTCGTCGCCGTCGTCGTCGTCGTCTTCGCTGTCGTCGTCGACGTCGTCGTCGTCGTCGTGGTCGGTCCCCTGTCCGTCTCTCTTGGGGTTGGGTCGACGGTCCGCGGCCGCCCCGGCGATCAGCGTTGCCGCTGGCCAGGCCGACGGTCCGCGGCCGCCCCGCCGTTTGCCGGGGCCCGGCCTGCAGGGAAGAAAGGTATACCCCCCAAAAGGGGTTCGATCGAAGACGAAGAGGGCGGGTATCGAGGGTTTGGGAAATAGGCGTCATTGGACACTCGAGCAGATAAGGGCGAACAGTCTTAATATTGTTTTTTTGGTAGTTGTTGTCGTCGTCGTCGTCGTCGTCGTCGTCGTCGTTGTTGTTGTTGTTGTTGTTATTGTTGTTGTTGTTGAACATTATTTATTCTAAAGAATAATTATTGTTGGGGCCCCTGGTGCGCGCCCCCCTCGCCGCGCCTAGGCCGCAGCCACATTTTCATCATTTTCGTGAGGAAGTCTCAGGCAAAACGTGGGTGTCCGGATCCGGTTGTTTTGTTGACGCCCGCTTTCCCTTGCAAAAAACACTATAAAATGAAATGTCTTGTTCTAACATAGCCAAACTTCAAGAATCCTTTGAAAAAATAACACAAAGTGCACACTCGCGCGCGCAAGATGAAATCCTTCCAAAACCTTAGTTTTCGTAGCGATTTTAACATAAAAACATGAAAAACCCAATGGTTTTTCAAAAAAAAAGTTTCAAACATTCATCTTGCGCGCTCTTGCGGATTTCTGAGGAAACCCAATATTTTTTCAACATTTCTGTCAAACGGGCTCTTGCGAGCAACTTTTTCACGTGCTTCGAACTTCTGCAACAACGGTTGCGCGCATGCCAGGGCCATCATCCCTGTCAAATAATACCATATTGGACACATTCGTTTTTTCTTCGCGCGCGCACGCCGTCGTCGTCGGCCGCGGGGCCCTGAATAGTAGCCACGGTCGTCCGCATGCCACGAAGTGAAGTGTCCGAACGTCATAGGGCGGGAAGCTGGGTGTGGGTGGTGGCGAAGAGTCGTATGGAAATTTGGTAGAGCTTGAAACGGCCCCCCCACAAAGTGGGGGTATTGCCCGCCTCCTATGAAAACCCTGGCACTGGTGAGAACGGAGTGTCCCCAGTCTTAAATGATTGTTGTTGTTGTTGTTGTTGTTATTGTTGTTGTTGTTGTTGTTGTTGTTGTTGTTGTTGTTGAGTTCTCACTTCTGAAGAATAATTATTGTTGATCTCCCCTCACCGGTGCTTATTGTTTTTCTCAATCAAAGTGTGGCCCTCGACGCTCGCAACCTGTTTTTTGACAGGGAAAGTCTTCCTGCTCAAACTGGCCCCCTGGCCCCCAGGTTACAACAACAACGGCTCCAGCCTGAGACTTCCTCACAATTTAGCCAAGACCCCCGCTCCCGCCCGAGACCTCCTCGCATTTTATTCAGGAATCGCGCTCTCGCTTGGGACTTCTTTAGAATTTCAGGAATCGCTCTCCCGGCGCTCTGGAGTCGCGCTCTCGCTGGAGACTTGCTTGCAACTTACTGAAGAATGGCCTTGCGTTGGAATTTCTTGCAATTTGCCCAAGCGCCGCGCTCCCGACACCCAGGCACCCAGGAGTCGCGCCCGTTGTGGCCCCATGTGCATGCCCTTCGTGGCCCCGCTGTCGCCATTTGTGTCCCCCTCACTGTCCTACGTGGCCCAGTTGCTACCCTCAGTGGCCCCATAGTTGCCTTCTGTGGCCCCGCATTATCTGCACTTCGTGGCCCCCTGTCGTTCGCGCTCTTCGTGGCCCCATACGCATTCCCTTCGTGTCCCCGCTGTCGCCCTTCGTGCCCTACTTCGTGTCCTTGTGGCCCTGCTGTCGTTCTCTCTCGCTCTCGTTTTCGCTCGTCGTCGCCGTCGTCATCGTCGCCGTCGTCTTCGACGTCGTCGTCGTCGTCGTCGTCGTCGTCGTGGTTGGTCCCCTGTCCGTCCCTCTTGGGGTCGGGTCGACGGTCCGCGGCCGCCCCGCCGATCAGCGCTGCCGCTGGCCAGGCCGACGGTCCGCGGCCGCCCCGCCGCTTGCCGGGGCCCGGCCTGCAGGGAAGAAAGGTATACCCCCCAAAAGGGGTCCGATCGAAGACGAAGAGGGCGGGTATCGAGGGTTTGGGAAATAGGCGTTATTGGACACTCGAGCATATAAGGGCGAACAGTCTTAAAATGATTGTTGTTGTTGTCGACGTTGAACTCTCATTCTTGAAGAATAATTATTGTTGATCCCCCCCCCACCGGTGCACATTGATTTTTTTTATTGAAGTGCCACCCCCGGGGCTCGCACTTTGTTTTTTCTCAAGGAAAGTCTTCCTGCTCAAACTGTGCCCCTGCCCCCCGGGCTACAACAACAACGGCTCCCGCTTGAGACTTCTTCGATTTTTACTCAGGACCCCCGCTCCCGCCTGAGACTTCCGCGCAATTTACTCAGGAAAGGCGCTCCCGTCTGAGACTTCATCGCAATGTAATCAAGACCCCCGCTCCCGCCTGAGAATTCCGTGCAATTTACGTGGGAACGGCGCTCCCGCCTGAGACTTCTTCGAATTTTACTCAGGACCCCCGCTCCTGCTTGACATTTCCGCGCAATTGACTCAGGAACGGCGCTCCCGCCTGAGACTTCCTCGCAATTTAGTGAGGACCCCCGCTCCCGCCTGAGACTTCCGTGCAATTTGCTCAGGAACGGCGCTCCCGCTTGAGACTTCCTCGCAACTTAGTCAGGGCCCCCGCTCCCGCCCGAGATTTCCTTACAATGTACTCAGGACTGCGCTCTCGCGTGCGACGTCCTCACAAATTATTATGGAATTGCGTTTCGGCGCTCAGGAACCAAGCGCGCGCCAAGGACGCCTTCACAACGTGGCATCTTCCCTCTTCATTCGTCCTTCCCCCTCCCCTTCCTCCCACTCTCCCTCGTTCTTCCCCTCCTCCTCTTGCAGGGCCCACGCCAATTCCAATGGCGGGCAGAGAGATGTACGCCCCCGAAGGATTGTCCGCCCGTTCCGGTTTGCCCGTACGTCTAAGCCCGCCGGCCCCAGCAAAGAGAAATAATCCCCCCGAAAGGGGTGTGATCGAAGACGAAGGCGGGTTTCGAGGGTGTAGGGTATACGTGTTGAATGACTCGCGGGCAAGTAAGAGCGTACAGCCTTAAAATGGTTGTTGTTGTTGTTGTTGCTGTTGTTGTTGTTGTCGGGGGGCCGGTTGCGGCGCACACCCGAAACGCTTGAGCGTAAGCCTAATGTTCAAAGGAAATGCAGCTGGCGCCGAGGCGAGAGCGCCAGGGCGCCCCTAGGGGGCCCAACCATAATACTTGTTGAATAATTGCAAGTCCACAACATCAGGAGCAACAGCAACTACAACTACAACGACAACAACAAACTACAGCAACAACTACAACAACAACAACAACAATCCGCACCGCAGCACCTCACTTTTGCCACGCGCCCAGGGACAGTGAGTGATCGTTCGTCCCCCTCACTCTGAGGTGTATATATGTGAATATATATATATATATAATATATATATATATATATATACACACATATATATAGACATATATATATAGACATATATATATATATATATATATATATATATATATATATATGCAAATACATAAACACAAACATACACATACACATATATCTATGCATCTATGTGTGTATCGGGCCCAGGAGGCCAGAGCCGAGGGCACGCGCCAGGGGTGACAGAAACCATGCCGACTGCCGGAGATCTGGTCGCCGACGGCGGCGGCGCCACCCGAGGCTACGCCGCCTACGGCGTCGGGGTGCCCAGCGACGCCCCGCAGGCCGCCGGCGACCGGCAGGCGGCCCCGCTGCCGATTGACGCGCGGCGGCTGGCCGCCGGGGCCGCCCCGGGCCGCGTGCTCGCCGCGGGGGCCACGCCGGCGCTGCAGGCCTGGGCCGCGTCGTGTCGGCAGCTGCAGGAGGCCCAGGCCTGCTCGCGTCGAGGTCTCTGGCTGTTGCTGGGGGGCCTCCCGGGGGGCCCGTGCCGCGCCCCGGGGTCGTCGACAGGAGCGGCCCGGGGTGAGAAATCTGCCCCCGGGAAAGGGTCGGGATTTCCGGGGACCCCCTCGTTGAAAAAATCAGGACGTCGCATGTCGTGGGCGGCGGATGCAGCCCAACGGGGGGGGGGCATTGCGTGTTTCCATTGGCTCCGCTCGCCCATGTCCTCGGCGAGGCCCTCCCAGATGTCCTCGCCGAGGCGCGCACTGCAGCGTCCGCCCCTTGGCAATCCACCCCTTTTGTCGCCTCTGCCTGCTCCCTCACTTGTCCATGCAGTGCAGGGGAGGTCGGCTGCACGCAAAGTGGCCCTTCGCTGCCGTGCGCGGGACCGGGGGGCTGGCCCACCATGAGGCCCCCCCCCGCCGCTGAGTGAGTGCGATGATCCGGGCGTTCGGCGATCAGGTTTGCTCCCCGCCCTCCCCCCCCGCCCACCCTGCCTCCCGCCCCCGTTCCCGCTGGAGCCGCGCACCAAGGGCCACTTTTGCCCTGGGGCCACCGCTTGCCTGTGGAACGGTACTGGGGGAGAGCAGGCCCCTGGGGGGGATCCTTCGGCTTCGGCTTCCCCCTCGAGGGATCCTCGGCGCAAGGGGTTCCCTCGGGGGGCAAGGAGCACGGTTCCCCCCTGTTCGGTGTGTTGAGGCTGTTACGGCGTTTCTGGTCGCTTAGGGGGGCCACCAGGAGGTTTCCGCGCAGGACCCCCAAGATGGGAGGGTGGTGGTGGATGAGGAGGAGATGGAGGGAAGGGGAAGACTGGAGGGGTGGCAGAAGAGGTGGAGGAGGAGAATGACCAGTGCAAACCCAAGAGGCATCAACGATACTAGAATAAGCCATCCCTTCAAGCTCCTTCTTCATTGGCCCCTACAACGGTTCATTTCCATTGAGAGAACTGCTTCGTTGGAGGACAACCGTTTGAATACCTTGAAGCATGCCAAAACATTGTTCTCTGGATTCCAACGCTACGGATCAACCTGATTGTCGCGTGTTGATGATCTTCAATCGTGCCAGAACGCCATTCGACGTAACTGTTGCGACCGCCTAATCCTGAATCCCTCCAAAGCACCATTGCTGGTAGATGCGCTCATCATGGGAATCCGTGAAACCCTTGCAATTTTTAACAACGAGTCAGCGCAGCGTTAAGGCGAGAACCGCATTTTGAAAACGACCCGCCCTCAATCCGTGAAGGTTTCGCAATTTTGCAACGAACGTGCGGCGCGCTAGGGCGAGAACCACATTTTCAAAACCACCCGCCCTCAATTCGTGAAACCTTTACACAGGACTGAAGCGAATGTGCGCCGCGCTCAGGCGAAAGCCACCTTTTGAACACCACCCGCCCTCAATCCGTGCAACTCTTGCAGATGTTTGAAACTAATGTGCGCCGCGCTAAGGCGAGAGCCGCCCGTTTTCAAAATGCTCTCGCTTTCGTGCCGCGTGCACTTGTTGTAATTGCAAGAGCTTCACGGATTGAGGGCGGCTCCTTTTCAAAATGTGGCTCTCGCCTTAGCGCCGCGCGCATCCGATATTTCAATTTGCAAGAGTTTCACGGATTCCCATGGTCAGCGTACCAGAAATCGTGTTTTGGAAGGAGTCCCGATTATGGGAGCGCAACTGTTACGTTGATTCGCGGTGTTGAAGTCCCAGGAATGGCGTTCTGGCACGATTCAGGACCGTCAAAACGCAACAGTCAGGTTGAGCCATGGCGTCGGAATCCCGAGAGCGATGTTTTGGCATGCTTCAGGGTCTTCAAACGGTTGTCTTCCAACGAAGCAATTCTTTCAGTGAAAATGAACCGTTGTAGGGCCTGTGAAGAAGGAATTTGGAGGGAGGGTTTATTCCAACATCGATGATGAATATTGGGTTTACACTGGTCCTCCTCCTCCTCCTCCTCCTCCTCCTCCTCCTCCTCCTCCTTCTGCATGTCTCCCTGTAGGTCGGCCGTATGGCGGTCGGCGGGGCGGCCGACGGTGACCCCAACGCTGACGACCTCCCTTCCTCTCCTCTTCCTGGTGGCGGTGGCGGCTCTGGTCACGGCTGCTAGCAGCCCAACTCTTTGACGTTTTGTTCTTGCAGGCCTAGAGGTTGACACCAACACCAAGATCGGCGGTCTGCCTCCGCCGAGGGAAGACGATTTCGATCTCGGTGGTGGTGGTAATATTCTGGCTCCCAAAGTGACCGAAATATTACCACCAACACCGAAATCGAGAATCATCTTCCCCGTGTGGAGGCAGCCCCCTGTGTTGGTGTTGGTGCACATTTCCAGGCCTCCCATGTTCGCCTCGCGGTCCCTCCCGCCAGGGGGGGGGCGTTTTTTTTTTTTTGTGGTTTCGCAGTGAGGCGTTTTGTTTGCTTCGCGCCTGGACCCCTCTTGCCCGACGGCGTAGGTAGGCCTCGCCAAGCAGCCAGGGGAAAAAGGCACCCTGCTACCCTGCTGCTTCTACGATAGGGGGATAGAGGGGGAGCAGGAGGAGGAGGAGGAGGAGGAGGAGGAGGAGGAGGAGGAGGAACAGTAGGACCAGGAGAAGCAGGGGAAACATGAAAAGCACGAGAAGCAGGAGGGAGGGGTGGAGTAGGAGGCGGAGGAGGAGGAGGACATCATCCCGATTGTCCTTCCCGTTGAGAAAGGCGATGTCAACGCCTGACGACCTCCGCCTGACGCGACGATACATACGCCGAGCCCTCCAGATCACGGGCGACACTTCGCCTTGGCTGGATGGAATTCCTTTTTCAGTACGGCGGCCCTTCGGCGACACCACAATCGACCTCTTGTACGGGGCGTTCCAAGGACTCACGGCGGCTGACGCCACGAGCGAAATGGAGGCCTTGGGAATGAAGTTCAACCAGAGTTTGCTTTTCCTGCTCCCCAAGAAGGCGGCGCGGCACACGGAGGAGGGCGTGGCAGTCTTCCTCCCAGATGGCACGCGGCCATTGACGTCGCTAACACCGAAAACAGGATCATCGCGAGCGCGGTGCGCCTTATGCTGGAACCAGCACGGGCGCCGAGAACTTCGCGGGACCAGCGCGGGTTTCTGAAGGGGCGGTCGATGTTGGCGAATGTGGTGGATTTCGAGGAAGCCATGTGCGAGGGCGTCCTCTCGCCGTAGGAGCCCTTCGCATGCTTCATGGACTTCGAAGCCGCGTTCCCCTCAGCGGAACACGGGTTCATGATGCAGCTCTTCGAGCAAGCGGGGTGGCCAGACTGGCTGATCCGTTACCTCCGCGCGCTTTACACCGACAAAGTTTGCAGGATCGCGTTCGGAGGGGCGCGGTACGAGGGCTTCACGGCGACGCGAGGGGTACGACAGGGCTGCCCTTGCTGGCGGCGTGTTCGGACCTCCTGCTGATGCGCATTGGCCGCCACTGTCATGCCCTTGTCCGGGCTTGCGCGGACGACGCAGCCATCTTCCTCTACGACGGTCTGCAGTCGGTCGCGATTCTGGCAAGCATCTTCGACGAGTTTGCGCGCTGCTCTGGCTTGAAGCTGGACGTCAAGAAGACGGTAGTGGTGCCCGTGAGCGCGCAGGACCTCGTGCAGCTTCGCGTGGACATCGCGGAGCGGGCGTCAGCCTGGGGGAAGCTTGGCTTGGCGCGGCAGGCTCGGTACCTCGGCTTCACGGCGGGCCCTGGGCGCGCGGCTCTCTCGTGGGATGCGCCCATGAGGAAATTCTCGGAGCGCGTGGAGCTCTGGCGCTCTCTCGGGGCGGGGCTCAGGGTCACCATGGGTGCATACCGGTGCTACGCCTTGAGCGTGCTCCTTTTCGTCGCGCAGCTGGAATGGGTGCCCGCGGAGGCGCGCGCCCAGGAGGAGAGAGCCCTCCAGCGACTGGTGCCTGGGCCCGCGGGCTGGATGCCGTCGAATGTCCTCCAGGCCCTCACGGAATACGGCCTGGCGGCCGAGTTCGCTTCGCTCGCCGACAGCGCCTCGGCGGCGGCTGCCCGGGTGTTCGTGTTCGAGAACCACCAAGACGGTGGCCTTCGCGCTCGGGCGCGGGCCCGGCGGCTCCTGGAGAAATTACACGAGGCAAACGACGTCAGCCTGGCCACGGTGGCGTGGATCCGAAGCTCCTCCCTATGCCGGCTCACAGCGGCGGCGGACGAGGTCGCCACGGCCGAACGGGCGGCGGGACGCCCCCCGTTCCTGCTCGGTGGCGACCCCGACGACCTCCAGACGAAGAGGATTTGGCAGCGGCAGGCGACGCAGATCCTGCGGCCTGCTCCTGGCGCCGCAATGGCGCATGCTCGCAGGAGGCTGGGCCGGTGGCCGCTGCGATCCCAGCCCCGGGACCGCCCCGTGCAGCTGGTGAACGTGGGGCGGCTGCTCAGCGCCCGCGGCACGCCTCGCGTTGCCGCGGCCTTCCTCCGCGCTGCCATGAACGGGTGGTACACGGCGCGGCGCTTCCAAAGGAGCGCGCCTTGTGTCCTCCATGGCGGCGGCGGAGCTGATTGTATAGAGCATTACGCCCAGTGCGAAGTCTACCACGCGTTCTGTCGAAAGCATGCGGGGTTGGAGACCCCTGCGGGCAGGGACAGCAAGCTAGGGTGCTGTGGTGTCTTAATTTGCTGTCTTCGCAGGGCGTGGCGGGGATGGAGAGAAGCGCCGGGCAGTGCACCCTCCTTCGAGCCCTCACAGTGTACTCGGCGTACAGGGCGCAAGCCGCGGTGCGGACTGGATCGCTCCTGCGGCGAAGCGCCCCTGACGCGCTAGTCTCGTTTTTGAGAGTGGGCGCGAGGGGTCACGCGCAGCTGGACGGCCTCCTGCGGCTTGCCCGGCGCCGCCCTCACGGGGGCGCGACCTAGCGTTTCAGCCGTTTTTCCTTTCCCCCCATCCTCCCTCGTCCTCCTCGCTTTTTTCCTCCCTCCCTCGCCCCTCCCTCCTTCAACGGGCGCGCGAGTGGTATCGCGCAGCACGACGGGCGGAGCGCAGCGACAGGTCCGCGCAGCCCGCGCGCCGTGTCCTGCGAACGTGGCCGGAACTCCGGGCTCAATTTTCGCCGCTTTTTCGGTCCCGGCCGCGTGGCCGATAGAGCACACTGTCGGAGTCAAAACTGTTAGCCCAATTCGGGGCGGAAATTCGGGGGCCTCCGCCCCGTGCCGACGCCAGCACCTCTCCCTCTTCCCCCTCTTCCTCGCCTCTTTCCTCCCTCCCTCGCCCCCTCCTCCCCCAATGTGTGCCCGAGTGGTGTCGCGCAGTACGGCGGGCGGGGCGTCGAGACAGGTCCGCGCAGCCCGCGCGCCGTGTGACCAAAACTCCGGGCTCTGTTTTCGCCATCTTTCTCTGTCCCGGCCGCGTGGCCAATTAGTGCAGTCTCGGCGCACCGAGTCCGTGACGAATCGATTCGTCAGTTCGGAGTGTGGCGCAGACGATTTCTCGGTTTTTTGCCCACGGCAGGCTGCTGCGCCAGTGATTCCCGAGCCCGGCGCGCGCGATTCGCACTCCCCCCACCTTGTCTCTTTCCTCCCGCCTTTTCCTCCCGGGGGCGGAACGCCGGCTAGCCCTGTCGGGGTTGGCCGACTTTCTGCCCCCCCTGCCTGTCTCGCCCCCGCTCCCCCGTGAATTATTCCGCTCGGAGTTGCAAATCTGGACCGCGGAGGGCACGACTCCACACTTGGTGGTGCAAGCTATCGTGTCCACTCTGACCTGGCCGCGTGGCCGAGGCACTTCGGGACACGCTGCACCCAGCAGCCGGTGCGAGCTGCCCTTCCCCCTCGTCTCTTTCCTCCCGCCTTCGCCTCCCGGAGGCGGAGCGCCGACTCACCGCTTGCTCGCGGTGAGCCGGCTCTCCGCGTTCTCTGCCTGTCTCGTCCTCGCTCTTCCCCGAATGCTTGAGCCAGAATCGGACGACCTATCATCGTCCAGACCGGCTGGACCGAGTGCGGTGCGTGTTGGAAGCGCGGTGCTCGACGCTGTGGATTTGCCTCCCTTCCCCCTCCTCCCCGTCTGGTTGCCGTTCGTACCGATGCATTTTCGCTTAAGTAGTTTCTGGCATTCGCCATGCCCGCCAAGAGCGCGGTGCCAAGCCGCGGCGAGGACAGTTCGCCCAGCCCAACTGTGTGTTCCCCTCCCTCCCCCGCTTTCTCCGTCCCTGAATATTGGTGCCATGTCTTTGGTCGATTTACCTGTTCTGGGCTGCGACCGCTTAGATTGCCACTGAGTTTGCCTTCGTGCCGCCCGCAGTGAACGGAGCTGGTTGTCACGATTCGGGGCCGTTATCGTATCAGCTTTCCCCTCTTCCCCTCTTCCTCCTCCTCCTCGTCCTCCTCCTCCTGCTCCTCTTTCCCTCATTTCTATAGTGCGCGGGGGATTTCAAGTTTCCGTGGCCAGTCACGGAGCTTGTGCCCATGTAGCTGTATAGTTATGCAGTTTTGCCAAGGTCTCGATTCCATGGCTGCGCGCTACGGCTCGCCTACGGCAGGTTGGCCTGCGCCGCGCCAGGTGTTTCGGATTGCTTCCCCCCTCCTCCTCCTCCTCCTCCTCCTCCTCCTCCTCTTCCTCCTCCTCCTCCTCCTCCTCCTCCTCCTCCTCCTCCTTTGCCCTCTCCCTCCCTTGCGGCTGCTACTTCCAAGCCGGGCTAGGGTGAGCCTGGCGCGCAGCCTAATACTTGCCTGCTTGTCTGTTCCTCCCCTGGGCCTGGGGCCCGGGGTCATTGCGCGATTCTTGCTAGCTGGTTGAGTTGCGCTGAAGATAGCTCCCTCGAGGGGCAGCGGATCGGGCGGGCTTCGCGCTGGAAAAAAAAAATGTCAACGTGGTGGTCGTCGTGGCCGTCCTTGCCCTCGTCGCGGTCGTCGTTCGTGGTCTTCGCGGTCAACGTTGCCCTCGCCGTGGTCGTCGTTTTCCTCGCTTCCCCTCCCCTCCGACGACGCATTTGTTTCCTTTCGTGGGCCCCCAGCGATCTCGACCCTCTTTCTGGGGCCAGCTTTTGATCCCGAGTCGTGTTTTGATGATTCCGGGGCCAGGAGACGGCCTCCAGATGTTGAAGATCTGAGGGTCATTAGGGAGGACGGCTGCCACGACGGAGGGCAACAGCGGCGGCAACGACGACAACGCCCGACGGCGCCCTCCTGCATGCCAGGCAGGGCCCGCGGGGGCTGCCGCCCCGGTGACCCTGCACATCTACGACGTCTCGAACAAGAGAAGGCGGCGGGATCGAGCAAGCGCCACTCCTCACGTTGCCCTCCCCCCTCGTCGGTCTTCTCCCCTCCCCCTCGAGGGTTACCAGAGGGGGCGTTCGGCAGCCGCGTGGGTGTTAGACTCCGCCAGAGGGTCCGCTTTGCGAACAACGTCCTCGGCCTGATGGGCTCCGGAGCCTACCACGCGGCCGTCGAGGTGAGCCTGTCAGGGGCAACGACAGGGGGGGTAGGTAGGCATACAGTCGGGGCGCTGAAGACGGAATCCTTTTCGTTGGGGAGGGGCTCGGTGTTCCTTGATAGTTATACAGTTTGCCTTGGGTTTTCCTTTCGTTTTCCATGGGAAATCAAAACTTAAATTATGAAAAAAGGGGCCTCGTTCCTTATCTAGCATTCCTTAGGTCAACGCCCCGACTGTAGGTAGGCATAGATGGGGGATGCATCGATCCTCAGTCGCCCATTGATCACCGACAGGGGTCTATCAGCCCCACCCGGCCCAGGAACGTGTGGACATGCTATCGCTGGCCTGTCGGCGATGCATCGCCGATTCCAGGTCGATGCTTCGCCCCCTACGTACAGTTGGGGCGCTGAAGAAGGAACCCTTTGCGTTGGGGAGGGGCTCGGTGTTCCTTAATTGTTTCACAGTTTGCCCCACGTTTTCCTTAATTTTTCGAAGGGGAATCGAAGTTCAACTTCTGGAGAAAAGGGGCCTCGTTCCTTACTTAGGGTTCCTTAGGTCAACGCCCCGACTGTATCGGCGATGTATCGCCGATTCCAGGTCGATGCTTCACCCCCTATGTATGCCAGTCCCCCCTGGGAAGAATCCACCACCGCGACCCGCCGAGGCATTCCGATCTGCGCGGACGTGCGCGCATCACCATGGCCCGCCGTCTCGGGGCCAAGTTCTGGCCAAAGCGCGCCCAAGCCTTGATTTTCGCCCGACCAGGTGTATGGGAGAGAATGGAGCTATGGCTGGAAGGCGGGTGGCTCTGGCGTCTTCAGCACGACCCCGGGCGGCTGCCAGGCGCACCACTACCGCAAGCCGATCCCGATGGGCAACACCGAGTGTACACAGGATCAGGTCCGTGGTTGGTCGGCCAACCCAAGGAAGGGCTCGGGGATCAAGGAGAAGCCAAACGACACCCCCGTGAGGGAAGAACAGGAATGAGACAACATTCGCATGCCTGACCATCTTGGCTGCTTTCTGACCTCTGGGGGGAGGCGTCCAAACCACAACACGAGCATTAACTTTCGCACGCCCGCCAGCGATCTCGCCGCCCTGCACAAGATCCCCACTCCACGCCCTTTCCCCCCTCATTCGCGCTGGGGGCGACAACGAAGGCGCCGCCCAAAGTCGGCTGAGGCCAAAGGGCTCGATTGCCTATGGGTGGCCATTACAGCCATGTCGCGTAGCAAGGTTGAGCAATTTTTCAAGGCTGCCCTTGCATCCCTGCCCCCCCAGCCCATTCTTGGCGACTTTCGCTTGCCAGCCCCCTTCGAAAACGCTGGCATGGCCCTCCCGGGCCCTTGCGTCCGTGACGTGCGTCCCTGCTGTGCGGCTTGACTGCGCACATGTTCGCCGGGGGGGTCGTCGAAGGCTTGGGCGAGCGGAGCCCCTGGGCACGTGGAAGGCGCCCCCCCCTGTGGGCTCTCCGTCCCTGGATGCAGCCGCTTGAGCAGCGGATCGCGGAGGGTGTCTGTCAGGAGGAGAGAAAACACACAGACACAATTAATCGTCGACTCCCAGGGAAATATGGGAAGATATGGGAAGTGGGGGGGAAGACAAAAACCGAGAAAATGTGGGAACATATGGGGAATCCTGTTATTTGTGTGTATTTGTGTGTGTGTGTGTGTGTGCGTGTGTGTGTGTGTGTGTGTGTGTGTGTGTGTGTGTGTGTGTGTGTGTGTGTGCGTGTGTCCCAGGGCCCCTTCAGTCTGGCGCCAGCGCAGGAACCGTCCTCGGGCGTCCAGGAAGTGCTGTGCTGCTCTCCTGCTCCTCGAAACACGGCCTGGACGCCGAAGCATAATGACCACTCTGGGCTCGGGAGGGGCTCTGGTCTTCGGGTCTCACCCTCACCCTCACCCTCCCCCTTCCCCTTGCCCTCCTCCTCCTCCTCCTCCTTCTCCTCCTCCTTCTCTTTCTCCTCCTCCTCCTCCTCCTCCTCCTTCTCCTCCTCCTCCTCCTCCTCCTCCTCCTCCTCCTCCTCCTCCTCCTCCTCCTCCTCCTCCTCCTCCTCCTCCTCCTCCTCCTCCTCCTCCTCCTCCTCCCCCCCCTCTTCCAGATCGGGGATCCTGTTCGCGGCCGATGCTCGCCGCGGCCAGGAACGCACCCAGATTCCGTATCCATCTTTCCTCTATGGTGGTAGCATGATGATTGCAGCTGGTTGCTGTGCGTCTATATTGTTCCAGGGCCTTCTGCAGAGGTTCCCGCGGGAGTCTCTGGGAGTCTCTGGAAGGTCCGCTCTCGGAAGCCTGCCCGAGAGCGCCGGAAATCTCCAGCAGCCGACGACCTCAATGATGACGGCGCGGGCGCGTGAGACCGCGCGCCCCTCTGGGCCCCTGGGATGGCCAATTGGCCGTGGGAGCAGGTCTACGACATATTGCAGTCGATGGCCGCCGAGTGGAGGGGCAAGGACTGTCGGGGCAGCGGTTCCGGAATCCTCGGGCGGGGGTAGTTCTCGACCCCTGTTTTTCTTAGTCATCTTTCTCTGGGGGGGTGGGTGGGTGGGTCCGAGGTCTGAATATGAGTGGGTCTAAGCATCAGTGCGCCCTGGAATGAGCGGCCGAACATGGCTGCTTTAAATGTGACTCTGTTTGAGTGTGAAGTGATATCCAGGCAGGAAGGCGGGAGGGAAGACAGGAAGATGAGCAGGCGAGCCGCCAACAGCAACAGGAGCCCGATCTCTTGATTTGAGGCGTCAAAACACCTCCCTCGTGTCTACCCTCCTTGCCAACCTCACTCCTCCGCCATCGCCTGTGCCATGAATCAGCGCACCGCGCATCCTTCTACAAGAGTCGTCAAGAATAAGCAGAAGACTTCTGCACGGGGTCCTTGTACGGTCAGCCCTACTCCAGTGCTCGCACCATATATTTCACTTGCACGCGGAGGTGTCCAACATCCGACATCCCCCATCCCCCCACACACACACACACACACACACACACACACACACACACACACACACACACACACACACACACACACACACACACACACACACACACACACACACACACACACACACGCACGCACACACAGCATTTGAAGAACGCGTCTTCTGACAAGTGCCCGAAATCATCGAATTCTACGACATCAAATTGCATCGCTGAGCATGTTTTGCCAGGCTTGCAGGGGCACGGGGGGAGCGCACAGACCTGCCCCCCTGGCAGCACCTGGGGCGCCCGCCGTCTGCAGGCCGCCCCCCGCGTCGGACTGGAGCGACGCCACTCTGCTGAGGCCGATACTCAGTCCAAGGGCTCCCTCGAGGGCGCGAAGTTATTCGCGCTTCGCGCTTCGCGGTCCTCGTTCCTTCTCCCCCTCCTCCTCGTCCTCCTATTCTCCCTTTGGGAGGGCGGCGCGAGAGCGCGAAGTTATTCGCGCTTCGCGCTTCGCGCAGCGCGAAGCGCGAAGTTGGGAGCCCTAGGATACTGGATTTGCGCATCGGCCCGGGAGGATCCGAGCATCTGCAACATGTCACGGGTTGGGTGTTCGAAGCTGCGCCCGCCGCCCGTGGCCGCCTCGTGGCCGCCTCGCTGCCGCCCCGTGCGCTGGCAAGGTTCTCCGGAGCTCCGGCCCGCCGCCGCCCGTGGCCGCCCCGTGGCCGCCTGGTGCGCCGGCAGGGCGTTTTCCGAACTTCTGGCCCGCCGCCGCCCGCGGCAGCCGCGCGGCCCCCTCGCGTGCTGGGTCGAACTTCTGCTCCTCCTCCTCCTCCTCCTCCTCCTCCTCCTCCTCATCCTCCTCTTCCCCCTCCTCCTTCTTCTCCTCCTCCTCCTCCTTTTCCTTGGGATTCCGGTCGGTTGCCCCCCCGTGGGCGCCTCCTGGCCGCGTCGTGCGCCAGCTGGGTGTTCCGGTCGCGCGGCGGGTCGCCAGCCGTGGCCGCCTCGTGGCCGCCCTCGTGCGGCTGCCGGGTTTCCCCCCGAGCTTCTGGCGCAGAGCCGCCTGCGGCCGCTGGGTGGCTGTCTTATGCAGCGGCTAGCTCTTGCCGTGTGCACCTCGCAGGCTGCGCCGCACAAGTGCCTGCTCGCACAAAGATCGGAAACGGCCCCCCTGCCGAGACCAGATGCCAAATTCATTGGTATCCCTCCGCGCCTTGCTTCCTGTGTAATCACTATCACAAGATAGCATGTCAGTTCGGCTGGTCATGTAAAAACAGATGCTGCACTGACATCACTGGCGCCGCAATATGCTCACCGAGAGTATGCCCAGATGTTCCATAGCATTAGAGGCGAACGTGTGCTGCTTTTCGCTGTTCAACAAAATTCGCATATGCTTGATAGCTTTTGGTCCGCATGATAGTGAACCAATGGTATTTGAATCATGTTGACATGCGCGCGCGGCGGCGCGCGCATGAACTCCTCATAATTTGTCTTGTGCTTGCAAGGGATTCTTACAGGCAGCGTTTCTATCAACACCTGTGCGCCTCGCTTTGGCGCTGGACAGGGATGAAGGGGGGCGTGCGCGTGCCCAGCCCGCAACCGTTCTGGCTCCAGCGCCCCGGGGTGATGAGCGGGTCCAACGGGCCTCCGCGGAGGAGGAGGAGGAGGAGGGGGGGGAGAAGGAGGAGGAGGAGGAGGAGGAGGAGGGGGGGGAGAAGGAGGAAGAGGAGCGTGTCTGACTCGACCCTGAGGGGTCCAGACGCCGACGCGCTTCCGCCGACTGCAGCGGAGCGCGGGCGCCAGGGCGCGCCGACCCAGAGCTTGCGGAGGTCGAGGGGGGAGGCGGGGGGGGCGGCCGGCCACGCCTGGCGCGGACGGCGCTGCCAGGAGCCTCGGGCCGGATGGGATTCGTCCGCCAGCTGCCGCCCCGCGCAGGCGCGGCAGGTTGCGCGGCAATGAGGAGGACGATGCGCGGGAAGCGGCGCAAACCGGGGGCCACATGCGAACCCTACCCCTACCCCCCACGATTTCTGAGGGGGAGGGTGGGGTTCACTTCGTTCGGGAGCTCTCGAGCGAAGTGAACCCCACCCTCCCCCTCAGAAGTCGTGGGGGGTAGGGGTAGGGTTCGCATGTGGCCCCCTAGCAAAGAGCATCCGCGGGGGGTGCCCAAGCGGGCCAGCGCCCCACCCAGCCGCACATCGGCGGGGGAAGGTGCCGGGGGCAGGGCAGAAATCCGCGACCAGTACCTCCTGGGCAAGTTGGCCAAGGGGACCCGCAACGCTTGCGCCGCGGGCTGGAGGCAGCGGGCCTTGTTCCTGCGGGCCCGGAAGAGGCCCCCACCTCTTTGGTGTCGGCGTTGCGGGCAGGGGCTAAAGGAGGAGGACATTTTTTGGACTACGTGGTGCAGCTCGCGCACTACCAGGGAATGGCGGAAGGAACGAGCAAGAGCAAGCCGGTGGCCATCCGGCACTTCGGCGTCGCCGCAGGATGCCCAGACCCCCTGGAGCCGGCTCCCACCCTCGGGCTTGCGCTGGGTGGGATCTAACGCCCGTGCGCAAAGCAAAACCGTGAGAACGCAGTCACCGCGGAGTTGCCAGCGTGGCTGCAGAAGCGCCTCCGCGCGGGGAGACCTGGAGACGCGGCCCAGTGGGCGGCGGTGGCTGCGGCTTTCTTCTGCGCGCTCCAGGCCTTGGAGCACCTGGGGGGCCCGCGGAAGCCCTAGGCCCGGAGCAGGGTGCCCCGCGGGAGGGATGCCACCCCGCGGGGCGGGGCGGGGGCGCTCAGCACCTTCCAGGAGGCCGATAGGGGTGGTGATCTTCATCGAGGGCAGCAAGACGGGTCGGTGTAACTTCAGGTGCTGCCCGAACCGCTGCGCCACGGGCGACGCCCCGTGTCTGGTTCGGGCGCTGGAGCAGCTGGGTCCGCCGGGCCGCCCCCCCGGCGGTGGACGCCGGGGTGCCCACCGCGCTTCTGGGGCGAGAGGTCGACTTCGAGACCATTTGGACGCTCCAGATCGGGAGCCACCCCCTGACAATCAGAGTCGGAGGGGCGGCCGCCGTGCGTCACGCGGCCCCCGGCCTCGAGGTTCTGGAGGTGGAAGACCAGCGCCTTCCACGTCTGCCGCTGGGAAGCCCGTGGCAGTGGCGCCAGCTTGCCATCGGGGGCACCAATCGGAGAAGAAAGGAGGAGGCTCATGGGGAAGAGAGCACGAGAGGGGTGCGCTTCGCGGGGGCCCCCCCGGGGCGTGGAGGAACCCCGCAATCCCGCGGGCCGGCCGGCAGCCAGGGCTGCCCGATGCCGGAAAGATCGCAGGCCAGCCTTGGTGGCCAGCCCCACTTTAGGAACAGCTGGGTCGCGGAGGGACCGCCGTTCTGGGTAAGGAGCGCGCTCAGCTTGGTGCGAGCTGCGAGTCGTTACGGCCCCCTACCTCTTTTGCTCCTCTCCGTTCCCCTCCCGGAGCAGCCGGGCTTGAGCTGTTTGGGCGCCCTCTACGGAGCGTTTGTGGAGTGGGGACTGGTGGGCCGTGGAGCTTCGACTCTCGGCCCGCCTCTAGCTCGAATGCATGAAGGCGGACCCGGAAGTCCCCTGGAAGAGCGATGGGCGGAGCGCACGCGGAGCGTTGTTCAACACCGCCTCAGCTAGGAACAAGAGAGCGTGTCGGTCTCCTCTCCCCCCTTCCTACTACACGGTGCTGCGACGGCAGCGTGTTTTTGCTTGGAACTCGACGGCTGCTCCCGTTGCGTGCAGGTTCTTTCTTCGCTTCCCTTTCTCCTTTCGCAGCCCTCTGAGCCTGGGCCTCGCCTCTACCTCCCGCCCACCTTACACAGACGCATCACCCTCATAGGTAAGCGGATCGCTCGCGGAGCGTCGCTCAACACCGGCTCACGCAGGAAAAGAGAGCGCATCGGTCTCCTTTCTTTCCTCAGTAATACGCGGTGTTGCGACGGCAATCAGATTGCATCCCATATATTGCACCCTCAATCGCACCAAGTAGGTTGCCGCCCATGCCTGGTACGGAACCCTCCTGTCCCTGACAACTAATTTAACTCGATGCACACGCGTTGATATAATTATTGGTTTCTCGAAGAGCCCCTTGCAAAGTCAGCGTCGTCATGACCACCGCTATTATTATCGCCACCAGCTTCATCACTATCACCCTCGGCGTCGTCGACATCGTCCCCGATGCCGTAACATATCCATCGTCATCGTCGTAGGTTTCTGTCGCCGGCCAGTTGGGTTTTGCCAACATGTGTTTGGCAGGTGGTCACGTGTGGAGGCGGTCACGTGTGGAGGTGGTCCAAGTTAGTTGCGTCACATTTCATAGATTCGGCGGCGCGTTCCGATGTTTGTACGTGTTACCGATCGATTCGCTTAAGCACCGTTTCCGCTTGTTCCGCCTGTTCGTGACCTAAGTCGCTTGGGTGTCCAGATGATTGCCAGCCTTTGGGGTTCCGACTGTCTCTGATCCCACGGGGCGTTCAACATAACGGCTTCACATCTATTTTGTGATGGGGGATTGCATGTCTTTTGATGTCGCCATTCGTTTCGAAGGGGCCCATGAATATTATCATTCGTTTCGGATAGGCGGGGTACGTAATTGGATGCTTTTGCACTGCTCAGGCCACACAGATGTCATGCCAGCCCCCCCCCCCCAAGCAGAGCAACACACCAGAGACGCACGCCTGACATCGAGGACCTCGCCCTCCAAAGGTGTCCGAAGGTGGTCGTAGGTCTTCCTGGAGGCCCAGGGAAGGCCAGCAACGTCCAGAGAAAGCTCGACCTCTTGATCTCCTCTAGGGTAGACAAAGAGGTCGAGACGTCAGTTCTCGATGGCCTTGCCCCCCTCAGCAGGACTACAACCTGCTGAGGCACAATTGCACGCACTTCTCGGACACGTTCTGCCAGGCGACGGGCACCCGTGCCGTATTCATACAGTTTCACGCTCTCGTCGTCGTTCTCCGCCTCCTCCCTCTCCTCCCTCTCGCGCGGCCGACCCCTTTCATCGCTACTGGGGACGGGTCGTTCGTCTTCTGGCGAGGCCGCTTGTGCCAGGCTTCCAGTGCGCAGCGCTACATGCAGGCCCGCGCCATCTCCGCCTCCATCATGTCTGCATCAGTCCTTGGGGGCCTCAATAGGCGCCCGTCCGTCCCCAGCGACTTCACTGGCGGTTGGGCCTGCTGGTTAGCCCATCCGGCTCGTGGCGGCCCGCCAAATCTCGAGCCATGTCGCAAGGGTCTCGAGCATGGGTATGGATTCTGCAGCCCCCAGGCCGCCCATGTGCCCGCGTTGGACGCGGACACCTGAGTGCGTCGCGCAGGCTGCTCGCTTGCCCCGGTACGACTGCCCCTCTGCACAGCGAGCTGGAATGCATCTCCACATCCCCGCCGCCCCTTCCACCCTCTTTCTCCAATGGCTCCCTGCGGCGCTGCTGTGGCCCCCTGGCCTCCCAGGTGTACTCCTCTTCCTCCTTCTCCCCCTCCTCCTCCTTCTCCTCCTCCTCCTTCTCTTCCTCCTCATATTTCTCCTCCTCCCTCCTCCTCCTCCGCCCCTTCCTCCTCTTCCTCCTTCTCCGCCTCTTCCTCCTCCTCCTCCTCCTCCTCCTCCTCCTCCTCCTCCTCCTCACTCCTCCTCCTCCATTCTTTTCCGTAGGAATAATTCCTCCCTGTCCCACCACGAGGTCAGTCGGAAGGGCGGGCTGGGCGTGTCGCCTGAGACCTCCTTACACTTCACGAGCCTCACGCTTCGCAGCTGGTAGCAGTACCACATATGGAGGGCGGGTCGCTTCCAAAATGTGGCTCTCGCCCTAGCGCCGCGCTCGGTCGTCTCAGAAGTCTGTAATGTAAGGGCTTCAAGGATTGAGATCACCTCGTTTTTAGCATGGGGCTCTCGCTTTAGCGCCGCGCACAGTCGTTGAAAGCAGTTGCAAGAATTTCACGGATTCAGTACAGGTTGTTTTCAGAATGTGGCTCTCGCCTCAGCGCCGCGTACATTCGTTTTCGAAGTTCGTAACAGCTTCAAATATTGAAGGTGGGTAGTTTTCAACAAGTGGCTCTCGCTTTAGCCGTTTTCAAAATGTGGCTCTCGCCTCAGCGCCGCGCACATTCGCTTCAAAAGACTTGCAAGAGTTTCATTGGTTCTCATGGCTAACGTACCAGAAGGAGCGTTTCGGAACAATTCAGGACTGTCAGGGAGCAACAGTTACGTATGTTGATTCGCGGTGTTGAAATCCCAGGACTTGTGTTATAGCACGGTTTTGGGTCGTCAAGACGCAACAGTCAGGTTGGCTCGTGGTGTTGAAATCCTGCACGCTGCAGTATTTTCACACGGCTCTCCCCCATCCGGGCATTTCCTTCAGTGGAAATGAATCTTCGTAGGGGCCTCTGAAGAGGGAGCTTTGAGGGAGGGTGGATTCCAACATCGTTGGTGAGTCCTTGGTTTGCACTGGTCCTCCTCCTCCTGCCCAAGTTCTCTGCCGTCGGCCGAGGGCCGACCTTAGGAGCCTCGCCCGGGCACGCCTTCAGCAGGTGTGCCCCCGCCAGCCTGGTTTGGCGGATGCCAGGTTTAATCAAATTTTTCGGAGGGGTTAACACTTGTTCTGAGGGCTCAAACATATTGCTTCTGGTCCCCGAGGCGCGATCCGTGTGAGGGTTTTGCCAAAATTGGTTGGTTCGTCGGTCCGTCGGTTGGTTGGTTGGTTGGTCGATTGGCGGGTTGGCTGATGGGTTGGTTGGTTGATTGGTTGGTTGGTTGGTTGCTGCGTTGGTTGGTATGTTGGTCGGTTGGTTGGTTGCTTGGTTGGTCGGTTGCTCGGTTGATTGGTTGATTGATTGGGTGGTTGGTTGGTTGGTTTGTTGGTTGGTTGATTGGGTGGTTGCTTGGCTGGCTGGTTCGTTGGTTAGTTGGTTGGTTGGCCCGTGGGCCAGTTGACCGGTTGGCCGATGAACCGTCTGGCCGGTTGGTAAAATTGGTTGGTTGCCCGGTTGGTTGGGTGGTTGGTTGGTTGGTTGATTGGTTAGTGGTTTGGTTGGTTTGTTCGTCGGTCGGTCGGTTGGTTGGTGAATCGGTTGGCTCGTTGGTTGTGTGGTCGGCCGGGTTGCCCGTTTGCCCAGGCGGTTCGTCGGTGTTCGAGGTTGGAGAGTTTGACGTGGTGCTGGGTCGGAGGGTTGAGGACGCCGTGGAGGGCTGACGCTCGAAAGTTTGTGAGCGTTCTAGGTTTGACATCCCCTCCGGGTTGCTCAAGGCTTTCTGGGATGCTTCGGGCTGGTAACGGCGAGAATACTTGTGGCAATGCTTACAATAACGGTGATGATGGACGATCATGTGGGTGATGGTGATGGTGATGGTGATGGTGATAATGATGATGTTGATGATGATGATGATGATGATGGTGGTGATGATGATGATGACGATGTTGATATTGATGATGATGGTACTTTTGATGATGATGCTGATGATGATGATGATGGTGTTGATTGGAAGCAGTGCGCCGGATGGTGGGGATGATGATGATGGTGGTAAGGATCAGTATGACAATGACGGTTGTTATGATAATGACGATGACGATGGCGATCATCACGATCAGGATGATGAGGATACTAATGGTGATGATGCTGATTATGATGAGGATGAGGATGGTGATGATGTTGATGATGATGATGATTGATTTGATGATGGCTATGGCGATGTAGATGATGATGATGTTGATGATGGCGATGTTGATCATGATGATGATGATGATGATGATGATGATGATGATGATGATGATGCTGATGATGATGATGATGATGATGATGATGATGATGATGCTGACGATGTCGATGATGATGATGATGTTGTTGTTGCTGCTGATGAGGACGATTATGATGGTTATGAGGACGATAATGAGGAAAATGATGGGCATTAAGGTCAGGACGACGGGCGGTTCCGACTCCGACGACGATTACGACGACCACGATCCCGCTCGAGACATCCTCGAAAGTCCGCGCTGGCGGGCGTACTAGTAGGGCTACGTCGACCAGAATTCAATGCAATGCAACGCAACGCAATTCAGCGCATCCCAGCGCAATTCAATACAAGGCGGTGACGCAGTACACCGCAAATCATTGTAACGCAGTGCGCGCCTCGTCGCGTGTCAGCGCCGCCGGGGCACAAGGAAAAACAATCCCGCCCCACTCTACCGGTCAAGTGGCAGCGCCTCGGTGTCCGAAGACGAAGGCGACTCCACTCTACTCGCCATGTTCAGATTACAGAGGATTCTGGAGCACCTGATGGCACTCCACTTCGTGCCGTGAGACGTGGTGGCGGAGTATGCCACGAGGACGACAACGACGGCGACGACAACGATGATAAAGGGCCAGAGGAGCGAACAACATTACTATCCTTTCCTCCTCCTCGTCCTTCTCCCGCCCCCCCTCCTCCATCCTTCCTCCTCCTCCTCCTCCTCCTCCTCCTTCCCTCCTCCTTCCCTCCTCCTTCGCCCCTGCCACCTCCCCTTCCTCGCTCCTCCTCCCTCGTCACTCCTCCTTCCCTCCCTCCTGCAAGGACTTCCTCGCAGACCTGGCCTGCTTTCACTACGACGTCCGCCGCCTCTGCTGGCACCGCAATATTTGCGTGGACTGGGATAGAGTCTGACAATGCCAGCGCCACAGGGACTCCACGGCCCAAGGCCGCCATGACGACAGCCAAGGCACAGGGAAAGGCGGCGACTCACAGGGGAACGGCAAGCGGCGTGCTGACCCTACCTGGCCTGAGAACGATCCAGTGAGACCGCGCCGACCTGGCCTAAAGAGACGCTAGTCCCCTAGCCCAGCGCGACCCTCACCGGGCAACGGGGCAGGGTCGGTCGGAACAGCGCCGCATCGACTCCCAGTGCCGCCCGCCAGCTGCGGCCGACCCCACGGTGGCGACCACACCAGATCGGCGCCGTTTCGGCACCTACACGTGGCACCCGGTGTGCCCCCCCCTCTCAGGCTGCGCGCTGTCTACCCAGACGGTGCGCAGCCATGCTTCCACAAGGTGTTGCACCGCTCAAGTGCGTTCCCCCCCTTCTGGCCGCCCGCTGTCTGCCTGGGCAGCGCGCGGCCCTGATTCCACCAGGTGCTGCACCGCTCAGGTGCGCTTCTCTCCTTCCCCATCTCTCGCCCCGGCTGCCCTGCAGCCCCCGCCCCTCGTCGCCAGCCGGGCCCCTTGCCCCTGGCGCCGCGTCATCCTGACGCGCGGGCCCCTTTCCATGCACCCGCACTGGCCTTGTGGCCTCAGCTTTGCTGTCCCGCAGCGCAGCCGCCACTCAGGCACCACAGGGACGCCGCAGCCGTGGGCGCTTCCCCACGCTCTCCCGTGACGCCGCTGGCGCTGGGCTGCGGGCTGCTGCCGCCACGCCCGTCAGGGGTCACCCGCGGGCGGGGCACTCCTCTTTCCTCCCTTCCCCCCCTGTCCCCTTTCGCCCGCTTCCCTCCCTCCTCGCGCGCCGCCATGGCGCTGCCCCTCTGCCGCCCCTGGCGTGCAGCTCAGCTCCACCCCCGGTGCCGCCCCGCTGCGGACGCTGCGCTGGGGCGCGACTTCACACAGCCAGCGCGCCTGGTGGACACAGCATTTTGCTGGTGATAATCCCTGGACTCCTGCACTGCTTCAACCAGTTGCTCGACATCTTTTCTGGGCCCTGGCAGCGTCCGCGGGCGCGCCCTCGCCCCGGCCCGGCAGCTGCCACGGTCACCGCTGCCACGGCCGGCCGCTCCAGCCCGCTCGACGCGGAACTCTTCGTCTGAGCCTTGTTTCCCCCCTCCCTCCGCGCGGCCGCCCTCGTCCATGTCCCTCTTGCATGCCGGCCAATTGGCCATTCGGTTGCCCCGAATTGCCACACGCTGGCGCGGACCGCCTTTGCTTCGCCGCCGACGAAAGAGAAGTTGTCCCCTCCTCCCCTTCGCTCGCAACCCAATGCAACGCAAAGCATCACACATACAAATTCAACGCATCGCAATGCAACATAACACCATGCAGCGCAACGCGCTCCAACGCAATCCAACGCAACAGGATACAGCGCAGTGCACTTCGTCGCAACACTGCGCAGTTATCTGTAACGCAATGCAATGCAACGCGACGCAATGCAATGCAATGCCTCCTCCCTTTTCCCTCCCCCCCGCTTGTGGTGCCAGAGCAAATGTTTGAACCCCCGCCGCCCAAGCCCCCCCCAGCCTTTTTTCCCAGGGCCAGAACACAATTTTCCCCCCCAGCGCCTGGGCCCCGAGACGGCGTCGATTTTTTGTTTGACACCCTCACATACCCTCACACGGATCGTGCCTCCACGGTTAGAATTGTATTTGAACCGTCAGATTTTTAGTCGAAGCGTCGTTAAACATTTCAGAAGCCTCCATACAACATGCGTTTGATCACCACCCTCCCACGGGCCCCGTCGGCAACGCCCCGCGGGCGCGCCAGCTCGAAAGGGGGGAGGGGGCAAGTACCTCGTCCGTGCAGTCCTCTTTGTGGCCCTCGTGCCGCCGCGACCCCCCCTTTTTTGGGCCAGTGCGCTCCTCCTGCTCAGGCTCATCCCCATCCTCGCGTTTCCTCTCTTCCCGCCAGGCCATGGGCTTGGAAGGCCTGCCGCGTTGGGTCATGAGCCTCGCGGCGTCCGGCACCAAACTGCAGGATCCGCCGTCGCGCAGGATGGTGTAGAATAGAGAGGAGGAGGGTGGGAGGACGGAGGCGGGGGGAAGGAGGACGACCGACGTTGCCCGCAGCTGTGAGGGAGTGGTTCGAGGACCGAGCCGAGGATAGCGCGCATCTTGCGCGCGTGAGGGTAGAGGGGAGTTGGATCGTCTCGTCGTCGTCCTCTTCTCCCCATTCCCGCACTCCTAGATTTCAGCTTAACGGTTTGCTGATTATTGAGAAGCCCACCTGATAGGCACATCATGAGCGATGACACCCATATTTCACCATCACCATTCAATCCCACGTTCGCCGGGAATCGTGTTCCTCTGACGAATGATTGTTTTCAGCCAGACGCTTCGTTGATGGATCAGATGTGCAAACGACTGCGATCATTGAACATAACACGCTGGTTCCTACGGAGAACGCCCATGATCGGACTAATGTACCGCTAACGGACGAACTGGTCCATATCCCTCATGGAGCAATTGTTCTATCGTTGCTTGATGACCCATTCTTTCCAATGGTAGACGGCGAATCGGCGCTGGTTCAGCCGACAGAGAAAGGGGACGAAATGGCACGGGAGTTGTCCGTGGAAGATGAAGACATCAATTTTGAACGTTCATCCATCAGAAGTAAGACGACCCCAATTGTGTCACAAACAGACCACGTGACATATATCACAGGGGAGACACTTGGGGCGAAACGCCACAAGGCGCCCGCAAATATCAGTATGGACAGGGATTCCCCAGTTCCAATCCCCGACGTGGCAGGGGACACGGTGGATGAACAACAGTGTCCAATAGAGGACCAGAGTTCGGGACCCCGTCCACTTCCAAACACGTCCCCGCGCAACGGTGGCAGAAGATCCTTATCAAGATCGCCGTTGGCATGCAGGTTGCTCGGTAAATCAAAAAACAGCCTCGAGTCTTGCATATCCTCCTCCGCAGGCATCTCAGTAAAAACGGGCTGCTGGGCCAAAAGGCCAAGGGTGCTACCCGTCAGTAAAGAACAGTTGCCCGGGGAAGGCACGCAGCGCGGACGGACCGTGCTAACGACCAACGTGTGCAGGATGCTCGCACAGTCGCCAATATGGGAGCCTCAGTTGGCTCTGTTCCGGGTGCTTGGGCATGAAACATAATTGCCGCCATCTCGCCTTTTTTTGGAATGGCAGCAAGCAGAGGCGAAGAAAAGGTCGGCCAACGAAATGAGGCCACGCGAGGAATTGGCAGAGCAGCTGCATGTTATGAAGGCAGGAAAGGACGGACATGTTCGGATAATTCACGCCGAAGAGGAGTCCCTTCGACACGCCACGCAACAAACGCAACTGAGCCGACAGGCGGCCTCAGAAGCATCCCAGAGGGTTTTGACAGAGGTTCAGAAACATAATAAAGAGTTTGAGTAATTAACATAACGAAAGCACAGAGAAGCGAGAAGCCGAGAAGCAGGAGAAATGGTTGCGAAGAAAAGCCACATGCAGCAACTACTACAGAAAGCCGAGCAGGAAGCAAGAGAGCCTCATCGATCGGTAGAATGCGACATGTATATGAGAGAGGCACAGACCACTGCCTTAATCCACCGTGCGAGGGAAGAAGAGAGAGCGGTGGTGCAACAGGGGAGTCTCCGCGACGGCAGCACTACTGATTAGGCCGAGCAGGCCAAGACCGAATTACATATGGCCACTGAGGACCTTGCACGGCAAAGAGAGGCACGTAACAACCTGCTTAATCCCCGTGAGTCACAGAACGCGACCATGCGCAATGATGGGAAGATGTTGACAGGGCCTCAGACTCGGCTTGTAGTGCAGAGCGATTTTCCGATAGCCTCGACTGCCGCGGCGACGCAAAACGGCGCTCCTTCTCCAGGAAATAGTAGGGCGAGTGGAACGGTGACCGAGGCCCACCCTTGGCACCGGGAAGTTCTTCTCGCCGTGCCCCGGGGGAAAACTTCAGCTGCGTTTTGCCGTGATGTTGGGAGATGCGCGGGCACGTCGCGCTGGCAGCAGTCTAGAGGCGTCAGAGTGCGTTCAACGCGTTGCGCCACGCTGCGACACTCGCGTCGACCCCGCGACGAGGCGCCGTAGACACTGTGCTCGGGCTAAATCGGAGGCAGACGCGGGCGCAGAGAGAGGGCGCCAGGACGAAGAACGCCGGCGTTCTCAGCAGCGGGAAGAACGGGCGCGCACGGCCAGGACATCTCGGTAAGCATGCGTAAGGAACGCGACGAATGGGGGAAAGCCGAACAAGCTGGAGCGATCGAGGGCGCATCTAAGTTTTTAGTCGCAAGAGGATCTTAGCAGGAATCGCTTGCGCACGCGAAGCAACCGTCTCGAGAAGCGCCCCCCCCCCCCCCCCCTGAATCTCCCAAGCCGCCAGAAAACTCCCCCCCGAAGTGCCCCTCGCATCGGAAGAGTCGCCCGACCCGCCGAATCCCGCCGACGGCTCGGCCGGAGGGGGGGTCGGCGGTGGAGGGCGCCCTCCCGGTGATGGCGGCGACGGAGGAGGAGGCGGTGATGCAGATGATCGCGGGCACATTAAATATCCATGTGAGTTTTGGATGCATCCGGGGAAATCGTCGGAGATCCAAATTATGCCGATCCCCGGCGCGAATGGTCTGCGCGAGTGGAATCCACGTGCAACGAGGGCGATATTATCCGCCCCGTCTGATACATAAGGCACCGCGCCATGGGTCGCACAGGCGCTCGAACTCGAGGCGGACTCACAGGTTTCATTGAAGCCGGGCAGATACGGGCGCATTGACATGATGATTGCTTCTGACCTCGCAGGGAAATGTGCCGAGCCCCCCCATTCGCGCGGGGCATGGCGGGAGCGTGGTTTCGCGAGCTATTGTTTACATTTGTCGTTGGCAAGAATGTGTAATCTGATGGTCTCTACATTTTCTACAATGAATGGATGGATCCGCGCAGTTACTTATGGTGTCTCTGACCCATTCTCAGCGGCGGCAGCATCGACTCAGTAACATTTCTTTGAGCAGATGAGATTGGCCCCCGAGATGAAGTGGGCAGTGATTTGTTATGACATGAGTAGTGGCCCAATAAGACAAGATGCCAAAACGTGCGATTGGCTATTTTCTGGTAGTTACAGAAGATCACGGAAAAAGAAAGGAAATCCTATAATCTTTGTTGTAGGAAGAGAACCCTCGACAAAGGGGCAACTTAAAGGGTGAATCTGCCGCCCCTGGCCCGATTGGCCCGACGGGGGCGAGAGGGGGGCCCGCGGGCAAGGTGGGAGACGGACGACTGAAGAAAGACGCCACATGCACAATTTGTTGAAGCATGGCTGCTGGCCGCGCAAGGAGCAAGGGCGCCCGCGTGGTCGCGGGAAACTTGAGGCGGCCCCTAAAATTCAGCCAGCTCGGCCAGCCGGGCGGCCCAAGTCGGACATGGGAGAAAAGTGCGACAAACAATAGAATTAAAGACAGACCGTCTACCCCAGGTGCGAGGAGCTCGTCTAAGGGCTCTAGCGCGGCCCTCGGATCAGTTGGCGCGGCGCGCAACGAGCATCAAGACGGCCAGTTCAAAGAGCTCGCCGCGCCCGAATCTCCGGGGGCGCTCTCGGCGGGGGAACGACGCATGGATCGCGGGATTAGTTTGCGTTGGCCGGCGCGCCAAACGCCGAGGTTTCCCCTGCCTGTGGGCCAGAGAGCAAATTGGACAGGGGAATGTCGCCCAAGGAGCAGTTGCCCATGAGAGGCGGGGTTGCGCGGTGCCGAGCGCCGCGAGCCTTCTGGGCGATGTAGGAGCGGTGGGGGGTCCTCTGATTCCACCCAGACCAAAACAACAATACGGACGACCGATCCCATTGGACGACGATGCCCCATCAGAGGTACCCGTGGATGTTACCGCTTGTTTACATTACTCACTTGCGATTGCCCGAAAAGTAGGTTTGTCACAATGCGCAACGGGGGGTCATTCATGCCAGCCCGACGCCATGGACTCAGTCAGTGGTTTGCGGACCTGGGAACGCGAGCGAACTTTGTGGGTCTGTCTCGAGGAATCTGCCGAATTATAAGGAAGATGGGCGCTCTGATTATACCCGCGCCCCTGGTGGGCCAGAAGCAGGCGAGATTGCTGGCCAAGTCGACAAAGAGATAATTGACGTCGCTGAGCCACCAGCTGAGCCGGAAGAGGTAGACGTCGAGACGTCAAATGCCGAGCGCCTAAGGTAGACGCAGTCTCCGCCCAACAAATGTTGACACATCTCCCTAATAACCCTTTCTGCGAGACATGCGCAGCGGCGGGGGCGCTTCGCCCGCGTCGCCGCAAGAGTAACAACATAGGGCTGAAAGCTCCCAGACCGCATGCGGTCCCTCTTTGTCTTGGAAACCTCGCCCCCGTGGATCGCTGGTTCGCGGCTGACGAACTATCGCAGGGACTTCGCGGATGATCTGCGCGCGTGAGATTGCGCGGCCAGTTCTCGAATTTAATTGCGGCGCAGGGTGTCCGCGATAAGTCAGCGGGCCATGTCTGCAATTTATTGGCCAATCTCAAAGTCCCGGGGTAAGATCTAGAATGTTGCTCCGCGGGTGGCGCCCGCGAGCTCGCGAACGTATGATGCCGCCATCCCTGGCGAAATGAGACTTGCGGCAGTCGCCGAGAGATCGAACGGCGTCGCGCAGGCGGGTGTTCGCGCTTTATGACGCGCCGCCGCGTTGCCACCTCCACGCTCGACTTACGCCGCGCGATATTATTGTCTCTGTCGCAATGCACGACAGGACAAAGAAGGGGGGTCCACTTGGCAGATCCGATTTGGACCACTTCCCCTCAGCACTTCTTCCTTTCGGTTCTCTTATCCGCTGTAAGCTCCACCTGTATCGCGGCGCGACGCGGCCGAGACAGGCGCCCCCATGGCCCCGGGAAAATCTGGGGCATGTGCACGAAGCGGGGGGGCTGGTTGGACCAGGAAGTTAGGTTGCCCCCTTGGGGTCGCTCGAAGGTCTGAATCTAGTGACTGGGCGTGGACCGGGTGGCACTCGACCCG